GTCTGTTTTAATTGTCCAATTGCCACAGTGCTTGTCAAAGCCAGTTCTGATTAATCTCCTTTGTCGGTGTGCCCTTTGCCATTCCCTATCACTCCTCCCTGAGAGAGACTTCCCCCTGATTCATAAAGAAAAGGGGATGGCGTATTCTCTTAGCTGCTTCCTGCTGAAAAGGGATGCTGTGGGTTTCAGGGTGAAGATCTTAACCCACAGAAATAAAATTTAAAAAGTCATTTTCCTTCCTCTTTGACCTGAGACCAGAAGAACTGGTGTCCAGCTATCATGACTGGGCATTTTGATCAAGGATTCTGTAAAAGAATAAGTGATCTGTTGTAAAACAGGACTGACATAGTGGCTTGGGGGGAGAGTGAGAAAGACAGGATAAATAATGTATACTGCATTGAAACAGATGAGAGAGAGAACTGTTTAAAAGGGACATGTGATTAGATATTATTGTTATGACAGACTCCAGAGCAAAGGCTGTATAGTGGAGTGGACCTGGGAGGAGGGATTGTAAAACAATGAAAGAATTTTTCCTTTATTTTTCAAAGAGAAGAGTGAACTGGAGGGGAGGGATGGGCAGGAAGAAAAGTGCAACAATGAATGAATAGAAACCCAAAGTCTCTGTACATTTTCATTAAAATTAATAATTAAAAAATTTTATCGTTTGGAAAAAGAAGTTGTTTGAAAATAAATAATAAATGCTTATTTTTATTTAAAAACTGTGGTGTCCAGGGTTTATTGTTAAAAAAAGAATAAGTGATTGAAAGAGGGAAATATGCAGAACAGAATTTCACATTCACATGGAATCCAGATTCTATGGATTCCCTAAGGCTGAATTATTGCCCCCCCAACTATCACCCAAAGATAATCTTTAAATCAGTTTTGCTTAATGAGTAAAAAGATGTCTTGAGTGAACCAATGCTCTTTGAATGAGCTGTATGAGATAAAAATGACAACAGTAGCTGGAAAGATTAGGAAACTTTGGCAAGGAGGTGCATTTATATTAACAGTGTGTGAACAATTCAGAGAAGGAAAGTGAGCATGATTTCACAATTTCAAGACACGATCAATTCCACCAAAGACTACACCTAGAAATTAGCGAATTGTTATATGTTCTGCAGTTGATAGTTTCAATAACAGTAACAACATAAATAAAACCTTTTCCAATGGTGGTTGGTTTTTTTTCTTTCTTTTTTTTTCTATAATTATATTTTATTAATTTT